TTTTGCTTGGAAAGAAAGATCAACGATTATATTTGATTAACTGGGTCAGTACAAAATTGATTTATAAATGTATAAAATTATTTTCAAATTTCTGCTAACAAACGTAAAATTTGATGAACTTTTTCTCAAAGAATATTTGCACTGCAATTCCACTCCCGTATATGACGTATATGAATTGAAAATAATATTATATTACACTAAACTACCTCCATGTTCTGTGAATATTCTAGCAAATAGGTTTTTCAGATTTTAATCCAGCCTCATTTTACAACCAAAAATAGTATCATTCATCAGCGACCTAAAATTTCCTTGCAACCTGAAACTGTCGCGTCTAAAACTTGACCAAGGAAACTGTCGCGTCTAAAACTTGACCAAGGAAACTGTCGCGTCTAAAACTTGACCAAGGAAACTGTCGCGTCTAAAACTTGACCGTACTTCAACAAGGAAGTTTTTCAGCAATTAACGACATCGTGAAACTCGTCCTCCTCCGTCGTAGAAATTTATGCACTGTTTGCCTTCTCGAAGCTCGCTTCAGATGGAAATGACTTCCGCCATTTGCAGCGAAGTAATGTCTGCATGAAAAATAATGATTCACACACAAATTCTTAGCGTCATACGTGACGATTTGTTGCATTTTATTTGAATTGAAGTTACTTTTCTTATTGCAATCCTCAATTCAACATCAGGCTTCTGGTAAGATAGAATGTTCGAATATCAGTTTTCCAAGGGACATTTTATTATTATTTATATATTCAATGTTAAAAATCCTCAACATTCATTATCAAGTAGGAGAAGAGCTTGCAACACGTGAAATTGAAATTTTGGAAAGGCATTATAGCACATACGAGGGGTATAATGCTACAGACGAAAATTTAATCTTAAAATTAATCAGAGAACAATTTCGACGTCCTGATGAATCCGGTGGTCTGCGAATTGACAGCAGGAGACTCAGCATTGATGATGAGAGCCTCTGATATTGCCGGTCTTGTAGCGTCTGGGCACCGCATGATGATGCTGGTGCAGGCTTGGGGTTGGGGCACCGCATGATGATGCTGGTGCAGCTTGGGGCACCGCATGATGATGCTGGTGCAGGCTTGGGGCACCGCATGATGATGCTGGTGCAGGCTTGGGGCACCGCATGATGTTGGTGCAGGTTTCTAATGTGGCGCGAGTGATGCGTCTCGCTCTGAGCGTCTCTCACATGTTCTTTGGCCCTCCAGATTGTAGGTGACATTTGTAGCGGCGGCTTAAGGTCGTACTAGTTAACCCAATGAAATTTACATTCTGGAGAAGTCTATAACCTTCGTTTTTCGACTATTACTTACTTAAAAACTTATGACCAGAATTTATTATTTGCGCATAATTTATTATTTCATATATGTTTTTTAAATATAACAAGTGTAAAATGATGATTGTATGATAATATAACATTATTTTAATATAGCAACATAATATAATACTTATTTATTCAAATTTCAAATTTTCGTGGGACTTGAAAATCAAGTGTATATTGATTTTTGGATTACCAAGTAGGCCCCTCCCTAAATGAGGCCAACCCTTGACACCCTCACTGTAATTTCCTAAGTTTCTGTGCCGTCTCGAAACTGACGCATTTCTGTCACCGTCCAAGTGGCAGGCATTTGAGCAGCCAACTTGCAAATCATGGTAATAGTACCTCCGGATGACCTTCGGCCTTGAGTTGGCCACCGGTAAAGCGTCCCTAATATTTCGTAGGGCGAAGCCATATTCGGAATAGCGGAACCTGGCTGACAAGAAAGCCTTCCAGGCAGCTATGCGATGGCAATTAATTAGCATGGGCAAGAAGTCAAAGCGAATAACAAATGTTGACTTCCAACACAGGCAAGCTGAGACTAATTTATTACCTTGTTTCACTTCTTCTCCGTCGAGGAATTTTCCAACAAAAAGATGACAATTAATGCAGGGGAAGCTTTAATTTGGTAATTATTTATTTAGCCACTAATGAACGTCATTAAGGTTCTTACCTCATCTCGAACATTCCCTTCAGTGAAAAATGGCACGGCACGATTTGAATTGAGGACTAAATTCCATCGATTTTTATGAGTTAATAATTCAGGAAATATTGCGAAATTGTCTGTTGATCAACAAATAAACTCTCGAATGGTAAACATTCTAACACAGTAGATGAGTTTACTGATAGTATCTAACGAAATTTACTTCAAAGGACAATTTTCCTCCAACTTTGCCGCGCTATCTTCGGGGCTTGCAAGTCATGGTTGTGGTCTTTTATGATCAAAGTTGTATATATCCTCGCCGAACAAACCAATATAGCGGCATTAATCGATAACCCATGGTAACAGCTGCAGTCCTAAATCAATGAAGGTTTCGTACAAGTTATACAAGCGGGCGAGGGGACTTATTGATTAACATAAGTGAACGCTATGTTGGTAGTCTTTCGGTATTTTTTTCCGAAATTACAGTTTCGGAGATAAGATCGAATTATCATAGAAAGCAGAGTAAATATTTGTCGAATTTTTTTCCAACTTTATTACACACTAATTTTAAATGAGGGCTAGTATTAAATCGAATATTGCAAATTGATGGGATTGAAAGGAGATGACGACCGGGAACTTTCTTAATGTCAATAATCTTATTATATTGTTTTATTGAAGACCTGAGACCTCTAACGCTTCCTCAGAATTGGGTTTGAATAATGTATTTGAAATGGGTTCGTAAATAAGTTCATTCTTTAAATTTATTGAGAAAAAATGACCGGAAGCATGTTGAGCTACCAAAAATATTCTCAGTATTAATATGAAACGAAGTTGAAAACAGCCTTCTGTAAAATTTACAAAACTGTCATGTCATCAACGACTTTGATCAACCTAAAAAAACAGTTTCCATACAGTTTCCCTGGACACGCTTCCCGATAGGACACGTAAAATGTATGCGCATGTTTTGCCTTGCAAAATAAGCAAAGTTTAGCGTGTTAGAGATAAGCGCTAAGAAGTTTAATATGAAAATGCGAAGTCTTTTATCTCGGACCTGACGTGCGACATCATCGGTCAGCGTAAGGTCGTTTTCCTATTAGATTATGAGCCTGCTTTCTTTATATATTTTTTTGTAGCAACGAACCCCAGCAAAGGAGCGCATATTTTTACCTTATGGAACCCGTTGCTTTTATTTCAGTCAACGAACGCTTCTCGTGCATAAATAAGTTAATAATTAAAAACATGAGGCTCGTAAAATCTTCCTGTCCCATGTGATAAATATTTTCTTATAATGAAATTAGAAAGTTTGAAAATTTCCACAGAAACCTCTCATAAAAATTTCTGGCAGATATTTCGAAATTTCTTCTGAAATATTAACAGTGAAATTCTGGACTTCAATGTTTTGATGTTCAGATTTTTGTCTTGAATAAAACTGGCAATTTATATTGGAATTCCTTAATTATACCGGATTCAAGCACCGTTTAGTTACAGAAATTTCACTCATGCATGAACATAAGTAAAAGTTCAATTAATTATTATTGATGTACGGAGAAAACTTACAATATATTTAAGTTTAAACAAAAAAATTGAAGCTAATTTTATTTTTCGATTTGGCTAGAAAAAATGGATCAGTATTGAAACTAAAATTACAGTTTTGATGTAAGATTATGCTATTTTTTAGGAATTTCTATAATAAAGTTGAATGGAGATGCATACTTAAATTCCGATATTTTGTTTCTGGTTGATTCACATGTATCATTCATGTAATATTTTATGATGTCGCACACCTCTTTGTGAGTATTTGACAGTTCCAATGCATAATAATCGCAAATGTTCACACTCTGATCCGTAGTTGCAGGCTTCTATTGATGAAATATTGACAAAACTCGACCCACTCCATCAAAACTATGGCAATATTGTGTGACCAATGAGATTAGTTTTCACTCCAGTTTATTAGTATAGGCGTAATTGAATGAATAATAAGTTAAATGAATTAGTTTTAATCTGTTATCAGCGAATACTGGTGCTCTGTTATTTAAAAGAAAAACTAATAAATTGTTTTATTCATATGGGGATATGGCTTAGTTTCCTATAAATAAAGTGTCATTTTTAATTCAATTTATTTTGTAATAACAACCTCTCATATTATTATAGATATATATTTTTTCCATAATCATATGCAAATTTACGAACGCACATCGAAAGTTCAGCCCTCATAACATGTTATTGACACATCGTCGATAATTCCTTACAGTGAAAGCTCGCAGGAATAACTATAATAAGATTAATGCATTTACGCAAGCTTTTCAACTATAGTTTTTTGGTGTTCTAACTATTCTGCCCAATTTGAAATCTTTCATTTATGTTCTCTGTATACTTTCTAAATGTGTAGATAGAAATAATGAAGAAATATTAAGAATATATTATAAAATTTTCAAACAGAACTGTGCTCTTCTATCCTGAAATGATCGGCATTTGTCTCCAGAAATGAATTTGTAAGCTTCAAAAAAGAAAAAAATCTTGCGCTTCCGACAGCGGGCTGTCCGTCGTGTTGAGCATAAAACGTGTCCATTTCTTGACACTCTCGCATGCATGCAAAGCTTGTAAAAAAATTTTTCTATACTTATGTAACTTTGCTGAGTATATTTCAGGCAGCGTCGGTGCTTAGGATTGTGGAAGTCTTATCAGATAACATTTGTTGTGGTCCTCCAGGGTTCCAACTTCGGCCAAGTTGGCGAGTCGCATAACAAGACACAATTCGCTCCAGCAATTCAAGGATACCCTGGAGAAGATGCGCGCGCGTAATGTAGATGTAAGCTGGAACGATGGAAATCGGATTTATAGATAGTAGACTGTAGGATATTTCTTTTTGGTAGTCTTTATTATTAAAAGCCTTCAATATTTTCTTTAATGCCAGGATTAAAAACAGTGTCATAGGACTGAAGCCAGAAAAAACATTTATTTTTTTTTATCGTCATCGAGCTGAGTTTTCTTGAAAGGCCAAAACGATAATAATTTTTATCTTTTTCAGATGTATCAAGATCCAGAGTCGACTGAACTAAAAGAATTGATTTATTATACTTAATTTATTGGTTCCGCTCGGAAAGTTCAGGAAAAAATTGTAACCCTGAAAATATAGATTAACTTTAGCGGAACTTCTGAATGAAAGTGTGAATTAATGAGCACGCATGGAAGACAAAATATCCATTATATGAAACAAAAGATTGTGAATCAAAGCAAGAAAATTAACTGGGAGTAAAAAAATATTATTATCGAGGCTTGCGAACATATTTCAATGAAGACGAATAAACTTCGTTAAATAATCTCGAAAACTTTCGTGGTGGTGAAAAATTTTTCGGAAACAAAATAATAATGAGATTATTCGAAATGTAAAAAGACAATTAGTTAGTTTCTTCTCAAATGAAAAAGATACTGTGTAAATAAATACTTTAATGATAACATAATAGTGTTCATGATTTTTTGCATCGTATGTTAAAGTAACAACCGATAACATGGCATGGCTGAAAGTACTTCTACAACTCTGCCTGTATTTCATCGCAATGAAAAGCGTCGCCCCACTGAAAAGACATCGTCAAAGAAGCTACGCAGACGGTAAGTTTATATGCCATTTAAAATTAAGCATATCATTACAGAATTTACAAGAAAATTTCATAAATCCTAATGATTGCGCTCGATATATTCTCGGGTTGTTTTAATTTATTGGTTCATCCACATTAAAACTTTTGAGCATCTTGATTAACTGCAGGGAAAAGTCACAGTTAATTCATTGATCATGCATGCTCAGGATTTAAGCAACATATTTCATTTTTATCATTACGTATCATGCTTTGTCAATTGTATTTATTTTTACGATTGTTAATCGAAATGATATTACTTTCGTGTCACTAGAGGGTATCAAATTTTGAGGTAGTTTAATTTTGGTTGTAATGTCCGTAGAGTAATATTGCTATTCTTAAATCGTTAGCATGTCGAAAGCACAACCCACAGGAATCGCTGACACTTGACAGTGTTGATCATAGAATCTAATGTATTGTATTCATGAATTCATACATGATTCCTAAAAACTATTTATATATATAGTTTTACTGGTATTGGTAGTATTGATATTGGTAGTATTGAATTTATATCAAACGAATTATGCCATTCCCTTTCAAAAATGCATTTGTTCCTTGAGAACTTAACCGAGTTCATGTAAACTAGAATATCCCTAGCAAAGGCAACGTACATTGATATCTAACTAAATATATCAACAGGGGAATTGAGTCGTATGCCACATAGATTAAGGTTTAAATACTTATATTATGCTTTGCAATGCAACTGTTTCCGTTGTAACATTGAGAAAGTAATATATTTTCTTCTGATCTCAAAAAGGGTGGTAGATCTGGTCCTATGAAATGCATCCACTCAGAAAAGTGAATGGCTCATGTTGTCTAAATAGTGATATTTAGCTGAAGAGCTATCAACATATATGTAGGCTATCCGTCCATTAGGTTCGCGATAGTGAAAATGAATTAAAACCTGATCCGATCAGAGTTGAGACTTTCAAGATTTTATTGAGTAGCTAAAAATAAAGTCCATTAGATGGCCCACTCACAAAAAGTAATAATTTTGATACCAGTTCATTCACAAACCAAGCAACACAAATAGCCTAATATTAAATAAATACAATAGTCATGCTTGGCCGTTCTGGCGTCTCCTTCGTATCTTCTTCCAGTCTATGAAGGTTCGCAACATGTCCGTTGAGACTAGTGTGACACACTGACGCAGTAGACCTAAGCGCATCCGCTTGTTACCACAGTCGAGCTTGACAAAGTATTGGCTGCCAGCGTCCAATTCAAAAATTAAGCGTCAATTACTGTGGCATTCACCAATGGGGAAAACTAGACACCTTTCCTTCGTATTCAGAGGAGGACCAGGTACGAAGGTAGACTTGAAATACTGAACCCACTTCCACCTGAAATAACCAAAAAATATAATTCAGTACTCACTGCAGTGAGTGACAGAGCGTGCATTTTCTCGTCGACGAAAACGTGAAGTCACGGACGGACAGACGGATGGACGGACGGACGGACATGGCAAGCACAATAGTGCATTTTTTCCATAAATTAGAAAATGCGCTAAAAATGCACGGGAAAATAAATTGAAAGTTTGCCCCAAAATCACATGAACAATAGAGCAACTCAATTGGGGAATATATCAGAATTGATATATTCCCCAGAACACGAGGATATATCAGAACACGAGGAAAGATGAACAAATTGAAATAATTTGCATCGCAGCCATTGGTATTGAGCCAGTTAATGCGTAGTATTATCGCAGCACTTTATAGCAGCATAAGCTAGGAAGACAAAATTTTTACTATCGGATAACAAGCTTACCGGCCACTCAGAAAGAAATCGTGAGAGGTACAACTGTTGCAACAAACAAATCGACATGAAAACAGGTAGTTGAGGTTATAAAATTAATGACATTTCAACTGAATACATGATACAGAGTCTTGGCCACCGCAACCGCAAACTCTGATCACTAAAAAGAACCCGTGAGTCAACGCAGACCACTCCACGTTGCCAGCGTGAACCTGGTAACCAAGACGGACAAATAGCGCAGCTACAGTGACAAATTTTCTTAACCACTGTAACAACAGGAAGTAGGCATGAAAACAGAAACGCTATTTTGCGGTGGGTGAAATTTGGTCAAGATAACCAACACAACGGCGAAAAGTATAACGCTATTTAGCCACATTCCCAATAATTTCTCCTAGTGTTGCCGTTAAACTTACGGTATGATTTCACTACACATGCATTGCTAAGCATCATTGAAGAACACGGGTACCTACATTTTACAGGCTTCATTTCCATCAAAGTCTTCTGTCTGATGACGTCGAGTTGAGTAATCTATTATTTATGGCTCATCATTGACTGCCATTTCATCGTCCTAACTGCCTGTAGTAAAGTTCAGTCATTCAGTACATCATCGGCTTTCTTGATGAGGTCTCAGGCTGCCCTATGATCTCTCGAACTGCTTATTGGATTTCAGAAAAACATGCATAAAAAACACCATCGTGGGAATTTTCAAGACTTTATTTGTTCATCAATGAAAATGCAGATGACTGAGTGAAAATTAAAGTTTTTTTTCGTCGATGGGAAGCCAGAGGAAACCCATCGTAGCTAAAGTTTCCGTCGATGGGCGGAAGAAAAAAAATTTGAGTTGGGCAGTGGAAAAAGTAAAATATTTCATAATGTTTCGTTCAGCTTTCAAAAAAAAAAATCCTATGGTATTCAATCATCGCTTAGAAAAATCAGTATTTCACATTATGTTTATTGATAAACCAAATATCTTACTCAAATAAGATCAACATACTGATTTTATTATTTACAGAACGTAAAAAATTTCAGGGCCTCATTTAGAGAACTCAATTTGGAAACCTCATTTCAGTGACACAACAACCATCATCTGATTTCAGTAATGTTGACATATCCTTCGGAATAAAGCACATTTATGCAGATTAGAACGACAGTGAAATCTCTCATAGCAAGCCATAAGCCATTGTCGGGATATGCGACCACTCTGCTATGTAGGCTATTCAAACACTTACAAGTCCAAACTTCAGGAAGCTTTTTCAAGTTTCTGAAGTGATCTCGTAGATCTTGAGAGGTGATCTTTCTCTATCATCTGACAGGATCTTACTTTCGTTGATGGCAGCGAATCGTCCGGAAAGCGAGAAGTTTTCGGAATGTGACAGCTCGATGGGCCTTATACAGATGAGCTTGGCCACGGCCAGTTCTGCAGCATTTTGCTATTTATCTTTTCGTCATCATGACATTGTTTTTATGCAGTTTGAAAATATATATTGTATGAGAAAAATTTTCCTTAATTGATACTGTGGTTGATCAAAACAACGTTCGAACCGAGCTTAGTTTATTGCCGTGCGTAGAAGATTTTGTTTAAAATATGTGCTGAAACTTATGTTTCTCCAATTTTGTGGTACAGTTTTTGTTGTTGAATAATAAGGTGAATGTTTATTTATGAGAAAGGTACAATGGCCTATAATTATGGACTAACTTGAAGAACATATATATAACATACTTAATATATACGGTTTATATATACGTTTATTATATTGTTCATGACAAAGTTTTTGTCATGAACAAGTATGCTACGCTATACACGAACTCAAATAACGAAGTTTTATTATTCAGATTCAGATTTATCATCCAGATTTTACTTATTTTTCCCTTATGCATCTTTTTCGTATTTGCAGAAGTGATTTGAAAATTTTTTGAGGATTTTCCAAGAATACCCAAACCAAACCATGAATACCCCCAAACTAAACAAAATGTAAGTAATGAATAACATACATAGCGGAACATAAATTATGTCTCTCAGGGCCATAACGATTATTTTTTTTCTCAAAAGACATTTAAGTGTGGGGCAAATGTTTAGAGTCGTAACATGTTCTAAAGAGAGCAAAGACAGATATTTTCGTATTTTCAAAGGTGAAATTTATTTTAAGTCTAGGTTAAGTTTTTTATTTTAAGTTTTACTTATTTTATATTTAAGTCGTTTTATGTAAAATTGAGGCTTGGTTTCATGATTGTCAAATTTTCTATATAGTATTGCTTGAGAGGCATCTACACATATAATGTATTACGAGCTTTTAAACATATGATGCCGTAAGTATGTATGTTTGTTCAAGTGTTAATTATCTGGCTGTGGCTGTATTGTTGTGGTGTGAAATTTGTTCTACTTTCAAATTGATACAAAACACTGTTCACATAAACAAACACTCCACTTAACGTTAAACGATAAAAACGGCAATTCGACGAGAAAAAAAGTGTTGTCTTAATTTATAATAATCGTAAATGAAATCATAGAATAGAATTATTTCTAGCGTGGTTATGTATTGAAAAAATTAAATTTCCGTGCCTATTGTATCGGCTGATGAGAGTCACTTGCAGGAGAAACATTACCTCTAACGCTCTCGATCGAAGTCGTTGTTCAGTGGAAACGTTAAGGAGCAAAGCGGATAGCTTCGCGATTTTTTTCTGTCGTGGCTCCTAAAAGAAGTTAAATTACAGCTATCCGTCTTTGTTGGGCTCGTAGCTTGGCTTCACGCACCGCTTGAGAACAATTAGGTTCTGCTTTGGTCTTCGTAAGAGCGGATGTTTGGAGCCACAAGTCTGGTCATCGATGAAACTAGAGTCAGGGTCACAGTTTTTGTGGTTATATCAATTCAAATTAAAACTCTTACAGACATATTATAATTGAAAATGATCAGTTCAAATATGGGAAATGAATCATTTTATGTGGATTGTATTATTATCCATACAGATCTTGAGAAAATATTTAGTTGGTGAGACTTTTTAACCTGGTTTTTGTTATCACAGAATTTATTCTGTCAATTCATCTCCGAATGAATTGACCTGAAATTTTCAGTGACTTATTCCCTGTCGTAAAAATATGGCTGGAGGTGACCTTTAATAGTGACAGAGTTTGAACCGCTGTTCCTTTCTCTAGAAATTCTTTCAATGGCTCAAGTTTTTTCCATTAGGTCGTGGAACTTCGGAGAAGTCACGCGTAATTTTAAACACATCAAACTGAACACAATGGAGTCATGATAGACTGTCGCGGAAAATTTGATGATATTTTATAAAATAATTTTAATTCTTCAATCCAAAAAGTGTCTTTGGTAAAAAAACGTTAAGTACATAAAGGGAGAAAGATTACCATATTTAGGAGCCTTGTCAAATCAATAATTCTCTCTACGAATAAAAAATTCTTAGTTAAAAGTAACAATTTGAAAGCGTAATTAGGTACAATGAATTTCAAGGTTAACATATTTTATTATTTTGAAATTAATACACGAGTTAAGTGTATTTATAATATCAGAAGCGGCTCAAGCTCTAATAGGGTAACGTGGGGCAGCGCGCCCCCCACTTTTTTTAAACTAAATTTTTGATGAAGTTTTAATTGATACGAGGTGGTTCTTTGTTTTGTTTAAAGGTGCAACTAATGAGGAATGTATGATGTGAATTAGACGCCTATAGAGTTATTCAATTTTTTATGAAACACTATTTTGTAAAAAGTGTCAAAATGGGCCCATTGCCCCACCCCTGGGGCAATGGGCCCATGGGCTTGGGGCAAAGCGCCCACCCTTGGTCCCTTTACCACAATTGCATATTTTTCGTTTAAAAATGATAAAACAACACTTTACAGTTAAAAATAAGAAAAATGTAATAAAAAAATGACATTCATTTATTAACAACTCAAAAATCATATCCATAAGGACCATAACTTGAAAAAAATATACTCTTGGCTTAAAAATTCTATCACTGACGTGAAGAAAAATATTTCATTGACATAACATTATATATCCTTGACTTGAAAAAGATATCGTTGCGATAAAAAATTCGTCCTTGACATGAAAAAATGTATCCTTGACTAGAAAAAATATATTTAGTTGATCAGAAAAAAACTTCGTTCCAGTTTCGTCCATAATCCTGATATTATGTGCAGAGATTTTGTACCTAATCGTGATTTCAGCCAACACCATAAAAACTCTCATCAACTTTTGGCTCATTGGTGTTGACTGACATCAACTTTTGGCAAGGCAAGAGTCAATAACTCGAAAAGTGGTCATAAATACGCATAACTAGAAACTAAACCTGCTGCCTTGAGGCGGCAAATAAAAAAATCATGCAATATGAAGTGTAATTTGTAATTCAAAAAGCTAGTCATAGTTTGAAAAGGTCATTGAGACAAATCTAATGATGTATAATACAAGACTTCACCATGGGCGCTTTGCCCCGTGACACGCGTGGGCCCGTTGCCCCCACTAGGTATCATTTCAATTTATGTTGTGTCAACATTTTATTTTAAAAGCTAATAGTCTAAACTTGGTCTCAAAATTATCCCTATAAATATTACTTTGAAAAAATAATTCAAAGTAATTTCAAAATCTTCATCTATAGTAATGGAAAAAAAACTTTATTTAGCGGCAAAAAAATTTTTATCTGGACTAAAACAGTTATTCGCAAAGAACTTAATAACGCAAACACTTAGCAAAACGTAAATCCGTACACTTCATCACAGTGAAACTGTCGACCGGCGGTAGAGAACACGGACCAATATCTGCCATACTTAGCGAGAAACCCGCTATGGGCCCGTGACCCGCAGTGGGCTCGCTGCCCCATGTTACCCTATAGAATGCAGTTGAAACTCTGACGCAAATTGCAAACGATTTAAATAGGAATTTAAGCATTCAACTCACGATTTTACGTCCATCATTGAAAGCCTTTAATCCAACAGATTTTTCACGACAAATTTTTGCGGGTAAAATACGAGTAATTTTTGCCGTCTACATATAATATTTTATATTCACTGCATTAATAATTGGAGCGATTTGTTTCGCGTTGTTAAATATAACTTCAAAGGTTCAAAATAAAGTGAAGTCGGGAATAAACAGAAACGATACTTTATTTAACCAATAAATATTTTCTTAAAATCTTTCAGATTGTTAATAAATGGTCGTTCATTATCGTTTTATTGATGATGCGTGTTGCTGCTATGATGTGAACAATATTCATGTCATCAATGTTATTCAATAACTGTTCCAAAAATTATCACTTCTATGAAATTTAAATTTAATAAAATTAATTGAGAAATATAAATGAAACAAGTCGGTGTGAACAGAATCAACTATGATTGGCTACCGTACCGATGCTCGCGGCCTGGAACTAATTCTCGTACAGAAAGCATACCGTTCAATAATTATAAATCGCTAAAAATTGTCAATGTAATCTGTGGTTTTCATAAATATGCGCCGAGTGTAATATAATCTGAGGACATATCTTGATAACTTTCAGCCAATATAAACGTTCTATTTCATGGTGAAATATTAATAAAACTTTATATATGTAATTTAATGTTTATTTGATGGTTAAATTTTCCTTGTGACGTATAATAATAAAAAAAGTCTATTTGAATGCCAGGAAAGAACTCTTAATGAGTGAATAATTGTGGTAATTGCTAGCTATGAACAAGCTAATTCTTAATTAATTCCAATGCGAGCTATGTAAATGTTTATTGATGCGGTTGAGAGTAACTATTGTACTTCGAACGGGAGAATTGTTGAAAAATATTAATAAATTCAAATAAACTTCACATTTTCCTGAACTTACTAGTAAATTTCATTCAATTGGCTATTCCTTAATTCAATTAATGAGAAACCCATAGAAATACTTTTTTCTTTCACTTTAAAAAATTATTAATTTTTCTATGAAATAGAACCTTTAATATTTCGAATCATATCGAGAGAAAACCTGAATATTTTGAAATCACTGCTCCTTGTTCCTGGAGAATTTAATGTTTAAATTACGAGCTCTAATTCACGCGGCCCGCGTTCGACTTCTGCTTCAAAATGGTCTTCGGTTGAGTGGGGCTTTTTCTTGTTTGCATTTCAGTCAATCTCGCTCTTGAAGAATTTAGTTATAGTTTAAAAATTTAATCGAGTAAATTGTATGTTCTTCCATATAAGGATTAATATTTCCCTTTGTTTATGTATGACTATTTGTTACTTTCACCATAGTGCATTTACGTCAAATTACTGTATTATTTCAAACACATACTTCAAGACCGATCAATAAATTAGTTGAAGAAAAAGACGTGGTCGTGTCGGGCTACTCCGAGGTTGTTGCAGCACCGTATTTCGTGCCACTCAATCACTTAATTTTTAGCGCATTTTCTCATGTATGGAAAAAAATGCACTATTGTGCTCGCCATGTCCGTCTGTCCGTCCGTCCGTCCGTCCGTCTGTCTGTCCGTCCGTGACTTCACGTTTTCGTCGACGAGAAAATGCGCTCTCTATCACTCACTGTAGTGAGTACTGAGTTATATTTTTTACATTATCCGTTTCTTCACCGCCAGACGTGGTCGTGTCGGGCTACTCCGAGGTTGCAGCTGCACCGTATTTCATCCTACTCAATCACTTAATTTTCTACATTATCCGTTTCTTCACCGCCAGACGTGGTCGTGTCGGGCTACTCTGAGGTTGCTGCAGCTCCGTATTTCCTATCGCCCGGCCCCCGCAACATCACCACCGCGCAGAGCCACACCGCCTACCTCCACTGCAGGGTGGCTTCACTTGGAGATGAAGCGGTCAGTAAAAACTGCATTTGGTTTTAAGCTTTTGAGAATACATTATTCATTGCTAAAATAATATTCAATGAAGCGCTTTATATAAAATCCTGTTCAGGTGAAGCCTCACGGGTTCAATAAAAGCGGGATTATTTTTTTAAAATTGTATTTATTTTAAAGTAAGCAGATTATATAATTATATTATATATAATTATAACAGTAAGCAGTAAGCTGATTATATAAATTTTCAGATATTTTCTCAAATCTTGCTTATGATGGTCGTTATGTCATTCATTCAATTCCATATGATGAATTTTCTATTCGTTTTATGGAACGAACAGAATTTTCCCAATTAAACTTTCAAACCTGATTAATTAATCGCACTTGCTGAAATCGATTTAAATCATCATGTCCATAATTAATTTTGGAATTCCGTTCGGTGTAGAAGACTTGATGTGACCATCATCCCAGCTAACTGCAAGCCTCGCTGGCATATGTTACACTCATATCATTTAAAGATTTTGTTTAAAAAGCGTTGCACTTTTTGTCCATGCCTGGGTGATCCTGACCCAGTTTCCTTTCGACATAAAGAAATACCAGTGCCAGATGCAGAAGATGTGTCACAATTTGTACAATCTGGCCCATAAATATCTCTGAGTGCATTGTACTTCACTTTGATCCATGATTGAGTCTCGTACCTTGACTTCGCCTACTGGCACTTCATGCTCCTGCAATGACGCTTTTGATCTTGATTCCCTAGGCGAATTAGGCTGTAGGGCTGAAAGTCTGCAATGGGGCTGGCAAGTATGCTTTTCAAAGACTAACCTTAACCTTTTTATACATGACTGAAGCGTTTGTTTCATGCTTTTTAATTTGTATTCTGTGGAATTTAGAATGCAATGTGTTGGTAGAATACCTTCGAACATTCATTCATGACTGAACATTATACATGACTGAAGCGTTTGTTTCATGATTTTTAATTTGTGTTCTTTGGAATTTAGACAGCAAGGCGTTGGTAGAATACCATTGAACATTCATTCATGCTTGTCTATTTCTCTAAAATTACAGCCCCAAAATTTTGGTCTTGATTTTGAATATTTATGATTTATTAGAACACTGCTCTCTATATTGAACCAAATGATAGATTTAGACTAAAGTAGCCAATTGAAAATACGGTGCGAGGACAACTTCTCCTCATGGCTCTAATTGGAGTTGACTTGCAAGGTAATAATCGTTTCTTATTATCTGATATGACAATATTTGTGGAATTATATGTAAATAGGTAAAGCTAATGTTAAACCTTTACCGCAACAAGTAACCTAACCCGCTGTTGCTGGTGAGTAAAGACGATCTCAGTAACGAATAAACTTATCATTATCGTTAAATTAACTATTAATTTATTATTAACTAGAATAACAAACGACCCTCCCCGATATACTTATTATATGCTCTATTTTCTGATAGTTATTATTCTGTATATTCGAAAATGTAGTATTATTTTACAGAATTTTACAGGAGCACCAATTCATGCTGCAACAATTTCACGCTAAGAGGGAACATCAAAATACCCGGCAATGTTCCTCACAAGGATTCAGGGATTTATGTAGAAAACGTCCGCGTTTGCATCGCAACATCAATCTATGTTGTCTTGGGCACTGACACTGAGACTCTTGCAGCTCAGTGGAGCGAACGAAACCCCTGAAACATTGGAGTAAAATAAGAGAGAATCTATTATTTACTAGAAAATTCGAAAGAACTCTGACATCAAAATTAGAATATATCAATTTCCCCCTAAGATGATCGCATGTAGAGTAACAGATTTCCCAGGATCACACGAATGAGGGAAATGCAAAAAAAAAAATAAATAAATAAAAATTTTGACCGGAGAAATGAAAACATTGTCATATTTTATTTCTATATTGAATTGATGGTGGATTATGTACAATATGGAGCATTTAGTGTAATGATATGTCATATATGATGCAATATAAATCATCGGAATAATCATTTTAGGGCATGTAATTTGAGAAAAACATCTTTAAAGACCGGTATGCATTTAACTAAAAAGAACATAAGAGATTTTAAGCGCACTCGAATTAGATTCTGCTCAGCTATTATGATGGCCATTACAGAATAAATAAAATAATATTTTTGATTTTTCGAGACTTGCAAATAACTTCGACTTACAAATTATTGGTCATTTGCAAATGGATGCAAGCATACATTCATTTAATGCAAGCATATATTTAATTAATGCAAGCATATATTTATTTAATGCAAGCCCATTTTCATTTGATCTTAATTATGTTCCGGAATAACAATAAAATTGTTTTGACGCATTTGTGGCCTCAAATGAGCAGGAGCTGTTAGCGCCTACGGTGTAATTTCTGCAGTATTTAGCTTGCATCTTTAATTCAATTACTTAATTGCAAAGACTTTTAGGCGAGTGCTCAGGCATCTCATTAAGGCATTTTATTATCCATCCTGGAATATCGGCGCCGCTTGCACGCTTTAGAGTCGGAAAAAAATATTAAATAGATATTGGATGGAAATCAGCTGCAGAAATTTTATTTATTTCAGGAAGCAATTCAATTGCTTTAATGGATGAGCGTTTTTTCTCTCGTTTGTACGCCTAGTTTAACTTAATTTCATTACCGATTTAATGGAATACGGAAGTTGATAGGGAATAATTTTTTATAGCCTATTCTAATCGCTTGATGATCTAACTGCACTAATGAGGTATTTGTAATTACCAATAAAAATTATACAGGTCCACACACGACGACGTCAAATCTTTGTGTATTTGTGTATTCTGTATTTCCTGAAAAAAGATTGCATGAGGATCAAAACCTTGCGTCATCACCTGCAATGAGTTTTAGAAAACATGTGGCGCGATTGCAACTAGAATATCGCCGTATTGCGCGGCTTCAGAAAAGTATTCTCTTATAAAATTAACTTAATTATTACATTGCCATGAATTGTGGCGATTGCCATGTACCCCTTTAATAAAAGGTACCTCCATATCGTCCCAAGTGTGTTACATTTTACCCCAAAAATGAGAGAACATTTATCCAAATGTAATTTTGATAAATGATTAGGCGATGAAAATGTTTTCATTTCACATTATTCCTGCTTCAGGCATAGGATTGTCTGAAAGTTACTTGCTATATTCGCGCTACAAGAATTTATCCGCTTCTTTTGGAGAGCGCTTCAGCAACGGGTCGCTTTAGCACAGTTTTTAATGCTTTTACGGGTGAAATGAGTATTTAATGTTAATGGGAAGAGCATGTTGTATGCATTTATTATATATAGCTAACCCACCTACCCAGTAGAAAAAGATATTACATAAGTAAATTTTCACTACCCGCCAGGAGCTGAAAATTGTGCAAATCTCATTATAATCTCTTTTTGTAAGTCGAGTATTTTTATTTGGAGGAGGATCATGCATGCATAATGCTACAAATTTTTGTTTTAGGAGTAATTAATTTTTGTTATTAATTAAATGTTGGTAGGCATTTCAGTGCATATGTGTAATTTTATTTATTTAATCATAATTTCAGAACAAAAATTCTGCAGTGTGCATTAATTATGGTTATTTTGCGAAGCTAATCTTTCAATTAAACAAAAAAATGTCCTCTACATTTTAGAGCCGCGATAAAATACTCTATCTCTCCGATTCAGACCATTAGGCCACGTTAACGATTTCGGTCTGATCAATCCAAGACTCAAGGGCTGATAAATTATATTGAAGTGTTGAAGCAGATTGCCACTGTCCGGTAATGAAATTTCGAGGGCAAAGCTAATTTTCAATTTAATTTATGGCTGAAAAATCCGAAGCTGTGCCTGGATATTGGCACCGCTCTTATGCTTGAGAAATATTAAGAAGTAAAAAGCGCTTAAGAGAGAACGCCCAGTAATTGCTTTGACATGAGCGTTAAAAATTAATTTATGACTCGAAAAAATATTCGTTATTGAGGAACTATATACGATTTTTGACTACTGGCTTTTTATGATTCCGAATATTATGTATAAAATGAAGATAGTTTGCTTTTGTAAGATCTGTCTTCCACTCTAACAATAAGCAAGTGGTTGCTGATAAACGAGTTGACTTTTAACCTCACCACTAATAAAAAATTTCTAGCTCATCAGTGTTATGAAGGAATGGTTGCCGACGTAAAAACACGCTAAAATACTAATTTATATTCATAAAAATAGCTTGAATTCGAGCCTCACCAGTAAGTAAGAGCTTGTAGACGCACGGCTCTGCCAACATATGAGCTTAATTTCGTACCCCACCCATAAGTAAGATCTTGCAGATGCAAGGCTCTGCCAACGTTCTTGCCAGCCAAAGTAAGAGCAGGGGTTTAGCTTCGCGCGAAGCAAGAGCGGTGCAGTGCTTCTCCTGTACAGATGACGGTAATATTGATGCCGGGTCTGGCGGTGGCAGTCTTTACTGCTCATTGATGGAGAGCCTCCCTCAGCGATGCGCCAAGTCCTGTTAACGTAGAGTCTCGAGACGCTCGATCAACGCAGATTAGGATGACGGAACTCGCGTTTTATTTAGAGTGTTTGTCCGAAATAAAATGATTCCGTGTCATTATTTCTCAAAAGTCATGGTATTATATGGCTAAATTAACGTAATATTCCTTAAGTGTACAGAATTCAAGTTTTCTAATTGGTACAACTGAGTCTTTTTATTCTTAACCCATGGCAGGCTGTATCATTTCACATAGTGGAAGCAGATCAATTTTATAATAATTTTCTCCGATGCCATCTACAATACTAAGTGATGCAAAAACTCAGGCAATTTTTTTTCAATAAAATTTATTTGTAATGATATCCATACTAGTTCCTTTTTTTCAGCTTTCGAATCAGGAAGTTTCCGTGAATCACCCAGTATTATTCAGGATGCAAAAATAGCCTAACAAAAATAAAGAGCCATTGGAGTGCGCTTTAACCTTAAATTCCAGGTCTATTCCAGCTGTGAGCAGAAACATAAGACGACGATTTTGTCTTCAATG